TGGTCTGAAGGGCTAATTTGCTGAGCATTTTCGGATTACTGGTATAAACGTGAGCTGAGGTTCACACATCCATCATTAAATTCGTGTTGAGCATTATCGTGCTTGAATCGCCGGGACACCGGTGCTATGTTAGGGTCAACCTAAGCAGCTTAAGAATTCAAGACATATCAAGGATAACAGGAATCACTTGGGAAGGAATGCTTTCAGTAGTTCAGTGACCCTATCCTATTTGGGGTTTTGATGAGCAGTAGAGTGAAGGGTGCTGAGTTAATGAGGTAGGGTGTGGGATCGTATTTCAAATTTTCCGCACAACAGTGTTTGACCTTGCTTGAACCTATGTAAACGAAAACTTTCCGCTTTCGTTTCGTAGCCGCCTCTCATCATTCTCCCATTTTGTAAAGGAAAGCGACCTTATGGTTCGACCAGAAAAAAAGCAGCAAAATTTTGACATACATTTCTCGGGAATCGGATTCGTCTGGGCGTGAAGGATAGCTGCCAGTACAGCGTCCGCATACATATCATTGACAGGATTTGACTCCCAATCCAAAACACAAATAGATGCCAACGAGCACCATTGCAAAGAGATAGCACGCTGGAATAAAAAACATTCAACAGTACGTCTCTGTAAACTATCAAACAGCTTTAGGTCTGGAAAATCACGGATGCATATGGAACATCGAAACTTGAACTAGAAATAATTTCTATACCTCAGAAAAAAAAACCACAAAATTATAACTGCTAGGTCGATTGGCGTAGGTCGGGGCCTATTTAGGAGTGCGATGTCTCACTACCATTTAGAATTGCGGAGACAATCGTAGGTGCATTTACCCCAAAACCAGGAAGTCTTTCAGATCGTGCCGTAATTTTTCAAAACCGTATTTTGCATTACATGTGCACGTGCGTAGAACATGAAACAATGGATGTTCCTTTTCTCCTGAGCGGTCCTCTGAATGACAAAAAAAATGCATGAAGAATGGTTCATGATTCGATCCCCCGTGGTGACAAAATTTTGCATCTTCGATTGGCACTGCGTTACGTCGCAAAATGGCGCCCGCGGCTGATAGTGAATGCCATATCACCATCAAGGCCATCAGTGGGCCATATGAGTAGTTCTTTGCCTAAAAATGTTAAAAAGGTAGGAAGCCTGAGCATTTTTAAGCCTTTTCTTGGCATCCAGTAATCCGCTTCAAAATAAGCCATAGATCCGTCTTCCATGGATGCACCTCCACATCATGCAAAAAACAGTTTCCAAAAAGCGGGGCGCGACCTGAAAGACCTCCTTGATAACAAAAAAAATGTCTCGCAGGGTAAGCCGTGTAAGACCATTGTGACAGTTGGAGCAGACGTGTTGTCAAATTTTAGTTATTTTCAGCCACTACTACATGCAACGGTGAAGCCATTGCTAAGCGTTTAATGAAACAATGCAAACTAATCGACTGTCATTGCCGGAAAGACCTTTTGTGAGATTTGTTTGCTCGCTTGTCAGCTGCCATCTATTCTCGACGAACTACACCAGTCTGACTAGTATTAAACATTTTTATCGGATTTCTTCGTAAAACGGATTTCAAACGGAGAATCTGCTGTGTACACGAGCGGATTTTCTTTCCAGCAAGGCCTTGTATGTTTGGTAATGTATTGCTTTCTGCTTTATCTTTCCCTTCGGTAAAAATGTTAGGGCGCCTATCGCATTTAGGGCATTGATGACGGCATCTGCATTTAAGATCTCGTAAAACGCGTCATTGTTGTTGTGAACGGGACTAAGCCTTAGACGAGGTTTGAGAAACTCCATGCGTTAACCAATTTCATTTCCCTAGAGCTCCTGCCTCCCTAGGCTCGGTCCTAGAGGTTGCCCCCGTATATTACGATAGCGCCATATGTTGCCTATGATTTCCACCTTGAAGGCACCATCCACAAGCACAAAATGTGATTATTTCACTTGAAAGTTGGTGACGTTCCCCTTCAAAGGCTAAATGCGAACCAAAGTTGGGATTAAACCCATTTCTGAGCAAGCAATACGATAGCTACCTTAAGGCAAAAGTCGGGCTCAATAAGGGGGTATTATGGCGATTGAAACTGAGTATAGAGATGCGAAGTAGAACGACAGTGGAGAAAAAACTGAGAAAAACCGTCGACAAGGCCGTTAACAAAACCCTCTTTCCCACTAGCAGTGAAGGAGGCTGGCTTGGGGAAGAGGCACGTACAAACAAGTTTTCTGAAGATATCAGTCGTTCTATCGGTTGATACGGCAATCAACCTAGCTGATTTCACACGTTATGCCAGCCATGCACCACATCCCAAGGTGGGCGGTCGTAGCGGGGCCAGGCGGCGATAGCGCATAGTACATGCCCTGGGGCCTTATTACTGCGCCGTTTCGGGTTTTGAGTGTGGGAACATCTCTACGGGTGCGTAACCAAGTACAGGCATGACCGAAAGGGTTGGTTTGGTCAACTAATCCCGACCTTTGCCTTTAAGCCAAGTTCTTTCCCTCTCGATGAATAGCTCACCGTCTGCTTGCTTTGTTGACACTTCTATCCCCGACATCGAAATCCACCTATTTCACTGCAGAGGTTTAAAGTGGAAGCATATTTCGGCGGATTTCTGAGAGATAAACTCCTGACGTACCCTCACTCGGCTTTCTCCACAACATAATTGTATGAAAATAGAGATCAAGCTCAACGAATCCTTTTGTACACGCCATGCACTCGTCTAATGCTGGAAAATTAGGAGCATTCGATTGGGTAGCTGTCCCTTCCGTTTTCGACTCACGAACTGGCTTGCTGGAGTGTACACAAAGCTTCATGGAAGTGAGAATCAAAGAGTTTCTTGGAGCGCATTCAAAAAAGTTACTATGTCAGGTTGATGCACGACACCACGCGCATTGACCAGAAAGCCCATGTGGCCGTAAAATGAACATTAGTGCTCCTTCCGTTTAACCACGCACAATGGAGCATGTTCAGTGGCTACTAACCATATAAGGGAAAGGCTGACCCTTGCTTGCTCCACCGATAAGTGAGATGAATCACCGAGGAGATACTTTGCGCCTCCAAGCACTCTGCGCCACTCTAGCCTAATAAAAATGGATAAAGAACAAACTCCAACTTACACCAAAAACAGAGAACACGTGTGTGGGCGTTGTGGTGTCTGTAGGCTTCAATTCAGCTGTTAATATGGCGTCGTCATTTAACTGATTCAGACTGTACAGCAGCAATGGCAGACTTCCAGAGTAGTAGACAGATTGCCGCTGTGACAACCGCGATGAAGAAAGGTCCGTGAAAACTGGAAGTGGAATATTTCATGAGGCATTGCCACTAAAAAGGGAAACAGCTTATCGTAAGCACTAACCGGTCAGTTTTTGGGTCGACGACTTGGTAGTTGAAATTTACGCTTGATCAAAATACCGCTGACAATGTCTCCAATCTAAATCGGCACATGTTCTAATGATTGCCCTGACCATACAAAATCAATGCTTTGACAAGCCAAAGTTGGACGTTCACCTTATTCGATTTTATAGCCAATGCGCCAACCACTTTGGCCTTCCGCACACCTTGGAATTGCAGGCGGACCGTGTCCGTATTCCGTGGATTGTGAATCTAGAAAAAAATGTAGGACTTCTAGGGTGCAACAATCGAATTCAAACATAAGTCTGAAGCGAAAAAGGAATAAAAATTCGACGTTGATTAGAACTTTTTTAGCACGCGCCATGCATTTCACTTCCACTAACTTCGCAGTAGCATTTGGATGTGATTTCGCTTATCCACTCCAAGTCTAATGTCTATTGAACGGCCCTAGATGTGTGAAGGTTGACTGGTCCGGACAGCGCACGATCAAATCTTCAATCTTCGGGCAGTGCGCGGTGTGAGTGGGGCCAATTGCCACCACACTGTTTCCGCCCACACACTGCCCAAGAAACACCTCATTCTGACGCAGAAAATTTCCTCATGATTATCATAGAAACATTTATAGCTATGGCACCATTGAAAAAGCATTGACTTGGACAACATGGACTTTTCAGAATGAAGGTGAGACGAGCCGTACAAGAACGGACATAAGTGAGAAAGCATCCCGTGCTGTGATGCAGCCACAAATAAAGGCGGAATTCACGATAAGAGGCAATCCATTAGAATCAAGGTAGAGGTGGTCAGTGGTACTGGAATGAAGGAAAAACCATGAGAAACGGCCCGAACCCGAGAAATGGGACCCCTTCCTTGCCCGTTGATTTCCGCATTGATGCGACTCTCATCGGTCCTGCCCTCTTCAATGCTAACACTCTCTCTTTCTCCCTAAACGACCAAAGGCTCACGATGAAGGACTGGTCAGTCAGTGGAGGTGTCGCAGCGATAGCGCAATAACGGCAGGGCTAGATCGCCGTGCATTAAATTGCGTGTCAGCCTTAGGGGATCCACCCGTCGTTCCAAAAGGTGCGTTTCTCCGTCTTCGGCCTCTGACCTTGTCGTAGAATCCTCTTAAAGTGTGGCTTCTATGGCTACGGCGACGGTAAGCGGTAACCTACACTGACTCTTTCCCATCACACGACACAGAACAGCCTTTCCCATAAAACAGCACAACTCCAACAGCATAAAATTGCTCGCTCCAGTTAACAGAAGGTGCAAAGATCCGTTACTTGTGAAGAGCACCAGCAAAGTTAACGTCGCAAAGAATAGCGTGATCAACAGACGCAATAAAACCCAGCACGTGGCCGCAATTTGGATCCCTAATTCTCTAGAAGTGTCGAACGAAATAAGAGGCACTCGAATAACATATTTTCACGAACGAGTTCGAGAAGCAATGTGAATCATAATGACATGAATTCGAAACGCAGCTTGAACACAGTTGTGTACAGCCAGAGCGACAGTTCCAGATTTTGCCAGTAAATCGCTCAATCAAGGAAATTATGCAGCCGTTCCGAGGTATTTTGAGAGCATCCCCCAGTCTCCTTGTCGGCGTTCGCAGATGGCTCCTAGTTAAGGAAACAGCGAACAGGAACTGGCCTCAGCACATCGAGGGGAATATAAATTTACCATGCATCAAATTACCCTGTACGTCAAATAGTCATTAACTTGACTGATTCTCGCTGAAGGTAAAGTGGGCTTCCTCTAACGTAATGATTGTGCGAAGTGCACACATCCGAAAACCGTGCTATTTTCTAAGAGAGTGTGAGAGGAAATCGATAATGCAAAAGAAGTTTTGGAATTGAAATAGAATTTCAGGACGGTAATTGGTGAGGGGATAGATTTGCTGACAGACTTTAGCCTAAGTGTACGTGTGTCAATAAACAGAGAGAAGTGTACTCCGCAACACTTCAACAGCGCTAACAAAGGAGGACTTTCGGGACGGGGTGCTTTCTTCGACGTGATTTGCTGCATGTTGTAAAGGCTCGCGTGAGCAACAGAAAACTACCATCGTCCTGAACAAACCTTTCAGGAAGCTCAAAACAGCGCTGAGGCGAATTCGAGTCCAAGTTCGATGTCAAACTTTTGCAAATTATTTTGTGGTCTCCAAATTGCGGCCAAATTACGAGGGTGACATCTACTCTCGACACTGAAGTCATATAGCGGCAATGTGGAGGCGCTCGCCTAAATCGCGGAAAATTCTCATCATGAAGGATTGAACTCGGAACCATTTCCTCACCACTGTATTTGACACCCAAGAACAACTAGGAAAAGGATAGGGGTTTGGTTCTCCAGTGAGCCTCCATCCACATGCTCAACTCATTCAAAAAAAACGTTCTATGATCTTGAAAGACTCTTTTTTTTCCTGATAAGATGGCGCCGCTTCAAAACTCGTTGGCTGGCCCCCCCTTCCAGCCATGCTGACTCTCAAGAATTTGTAACAGAGCGTTTCGCAGAAAGGAACCACTTCTACTGATTGAAGCTAATTCAGAAAACTGTTTGAGAAACGACCAATTTCGGAATGTCTTCTTCCGACAGCGGTGAAGATGAGAATGAAAGTAGAAAAAGATGCTCAAAGCTATAGTAAGGCTATTTTGAGTGTAGGAAGTATTTAGAAGACTGTATACTGCTAAAGTAGCTGAGTGCAGTTTAGCCCCAAAAATCTGTACTCGTTATGATTCACGGAGTAACTGAACAGAAACACTATGGAAAAGTTTTAAATAACGCCGATATCGAACGGGAAATTAATGACGGGAATGCAGTCAAACTGAACAATGGGTTGCCACATATGAAATGGAAGCCTATGAGTGGTAATTGATGTCCGAGAGTTGCTGATATCGTTTGCTTTCCACAACAATGAGAGAATATTTCAATCAAGATTTTTTTAGTTTTTGAGTCGATAAACATCCGTACAACATTTTAAGATACTAGGAACAGAAAGTGAGACAGAAGACAGAACACAGAAGTGACGGGATGAGAACGACTAAGCGGCTACTTAGAGGACTGTATTTGAAGGCACAGAAACTGAAGGTTAGTAAAAAGGATAAAAGGATAAAGCATTTGCCGTTGATCGAATCCCTCTTTGGTGCGGCACGCATTCTACTTCCATTTGTACATTCGCAGTGGCATTTGAATGCGATGTGGCTCACACAATAATTTCGGGGGCGAGCCGATTTGAGAGTACGTATTCGTACGAAAATAGAGTCCCAGACTGAGTGTGTGAAAAGTGACGCCACTTGCTACTGCACCATTTCTGCCCTTGGTTAGATGTTGGGTTTCCCTTTTTCAAATATAAAACAGTAGTCGCTGAATGAGAGCTGAAGAGAAAAAGGGAAAAATCACTGAAGATGCCTCTTCTTTCCCTGACTGTTGGAGAGAAACAATTTAACATACTGTGTATGCTAAGGAAGAGAACGACAGAGGGAGGCAATAGAGCATGCCAGAGATCGAAACGCAGACGTCGCACCAACAAACTGTTGTAGGACGTATCGCGCCACCTTATACGGAGATCAATAACTTGCACATCTGATTACATAATCGTTTTCGAAGAGAATCTTCATCATACTTCAACTAGTTCAGAAGCGTTCGTAATACCGCCTAAAAGGCTATTGGTTCAGTATGCTGAGATGTCTCCTTGATAGGAAGTAGCAGCATTCCTACTACAGGTGGTCCAAAATTATGAGGACCGCGTGCGCGCGCAGTCATATCCACTTTTTTCCGTATCGCTCCATTTTCATCTCGTTTTCTGTGCACTATGTGAAAGGGTACAATGTCTTCTTCCTAATGAAACCAAATTTCATGAAGTTCTCAAAACTAGTGAAATAACTACTTCACTTTGAGTCAGTCCTCAAATTGAACTCACTAGGGGCTCTGGCACGTTACATCTAGCAGCAGTCTAACCTATCAGAGAAGCCCTTATGAGCAACAGTTCAACTCTTCAATAAGTTTGGAATCCACCACAGATGGAAAATTCGGGACTCGAAAGTTACAGTTACCACCAGGATAATTATCAGATGCAGAAACTAGGTCTCCCCTTGTCGACTTTCGTACACCCAAAATGAAAAAATTGATGTGAAAACCCAGCCAGACACTCTAAAGACTCCACATCTGTAGTGGATAGAAAGCCACACGAGTAGTCTACTTAGAACTTCTTACAGGACCGAGCACCCAAGAATAAAGCAAAAATCCTCCAAAAGCGATTTTTCGAGTTCGTTGCTTTCGAAGAATTGTTACAATGGAACCATCCACCTAATAGCTCTAGATTTCTGTATTTCACACCCTGGATGCAAGCGCATAAATGCAACACAAAAAAAGTTTGATTCCCTGAAGAAGGCAGAGCAGAAGGCCTGGAAACATTTGGACACGCCTTAGTTGCGTGCCACCGCACGCGCCATCCCCCTCATCCGAAGGCTCGTGTTAACGGGGGAAGTGGCAGATCTCAATTCTATTCTGGAATTACTTTGAGGTAAGAGTTACAAATACTTCCCAGAAGTTGGTTTGTTCCATCAAGCTACTATGCGTTTTTAACGACACAATGTCTTGGTCCTCATAATTTTGGACCACCCTGTAGATTGAGTGCTTCTTGAACACTAAATACTCCTCTACAATGATAATAACTCAATCCACGCAGTGTCAAAAAAACGGCTCAATAAGTTTTTTAATTACCGCTTGGCCGCGGGAAAGTGCTCGCTGTTTTGCGATACATTCATGCGCTTAGTTTCTGATTTTCAGATCTTTGATACGTATTTTGCATAAGGACCGCAGTACAGCACCTGAGGACTTTCCAGACTCGGATCGGTAAAATAAGCTGCAGTAAAGGGTATCATTGAAAACTGAGTTGAAGAGAACATAGCCCTGAGCGACCCGAGATCAATTCCCAGCTGTGAGGTGAGAGAGGAGATGGCACAAAGAAATTCGCTCCACCCACCCTTTCCATCACTTACCCGGTTGCTATATTCGTGTGTGGAGAGATCCCCACTCCGTTTGCATATGATCTACCCCCACATTACTGAACGCAATCCGATTCAAGAGACTCGCAAGACTAACCTGTTTCCTTATACCTGATTTTTTGATAATTGGTCACTTGTTTCTACCTTCTCTCACATGTTTTGCATAATATCCCAAAAAAGTCACGCATGTTGGCGCAAACAATCCGAGACTGCTTTCCATGTAGACTTGAAGAAGAGCTAGCATTTCGTACAAGAGAAGTTCTCGGAAATTATTTCATTCGATCCCGTGTTGATGTTGCTATGCCATACAGGTTGTTTCGGTGGATTTAAACGGCCCGACCGTTTCGCAACAATTCAATGTAGACTTGAAGCTCAGTGACGTGGTTTGTTCTCATTTTCAGATTACTTATACTATGAATTACTTCTGCAAAAGGTTATGGAAAAATTTCAAAACTCCTGCTAAAGAACCAATTTAGATCAACAAAGCGCCCACAAAATCTGACGGACAATGAATCTCTTTAAAATTTGATCACTGCTCACGTAGGATCCCCCGTGGTGATTCTCGAAAACCCGGCATATTCGTTTTTTGGTTGTTTTACTTCTGCCGAAGTTGCTAGGTGACATCGCCCCGTCGTCTACAAGGGTCTAAACATGGCCAGAAGTATGAAAGTGCACATTATCCCATCGAACGACTCCTCCCTCTATCATTTGCGGCTCCATGTCAGACTTACGATTCGAAAAATCACCGCAGGTTCCACCGCTGAAGTGTGGTAATGGTGACTCATTCTCTATAAATGCACTGACCAGTTTAACACCTGAGTGAGCTCATACTGTGCGGCCTGGAAATTCCCGTGCTGTTCCTAAAATGAACGAACAGAAACGCTTAGAGGAAAGTTGGCGTGCAAGTGGACAGAGAGCATCCTCTTAAACTCTGACGATATTACTCACAGACAGAATGGGCAATCAAAGATGGCCGAAAATTCTGTCTAAAAATATCGCGCAGAAGATTTCAACCAACATTTCCTTAATGATAAATATGAAAAACCTGCCGAACAACTGATCGATGCGTGAAGATTCTGTCGTCTGACGAACTTAATCTTCTCAATGGCACAGTGAAAATAGCTACTCTTCGCTACAATAGGAAAGAATTATCAAAACTTTTCTGAAGGAGAAACCTCTTTCAAAAAGAGTTGGCAATGATACCATGATGAGAAATAAGCGTCGAAGCTTACTGCAGCGGTATACTCGCGCAACTGGTATGAATGGAGAGTAATGGAGTGGCAGTAATAATGAGACAATAAGAGTAGAAGAAAAGCTATCAAGCTTGAAGGACCAATGTATCATAAAAATATGAGAAACACTGAAGAAAAAAATTGGAAGACTCCGCAGAAAATATACTCCATCGCCTCCAAGGAAGGCCTCATTACTGCGAACCTGGTTCTTGGCCGCATTTGAAATCAGTATGAACATTAAACAACGACATATCCAGATGTCGCAGCCCAGCTTAGAAGTTTCCCAGAAACCTTAGCACATCTCAACGTCATAATCTATCTCTTGAAGGGCTATTTCGTTGTGAGGTGAGATTAAGATTAATATCTATAAAATCAGAAGCTGAAATGGGGGGGTGTTTGTTAGGGGGGGGGGGGGGGAACGTGTAAAACACTCCACCTCAATAGATAAATTCTCTTCCTCAAAACTTCTCAATATGCCTGCCTTTAAGCGACTCATTTCATGCACTTCACCATGGACAAGAATCTTAACATAACGAATTTAGCTTTGAGAAGAGTATAGAAAATCGAAACTGTAGAAGGCTCACCATGTGCGGAGGCTTCAGCTGCTTCACGAATGCTAGCGTTTGTTGGAAATCCGTGTGTGCAGCAGAATAGACCGATATACCCGACCTACAAAAACAACATTTAGGAAGGCATCGAAAGAAAACTATTTCAAACGTTACTTGTAGCCTCATCGGTAGACGATCACCGTTCATAGCCACAATTTCTTCAGGTTCGGAAAGAATATGCTGGAAAATAAAGTAGAATTCATCAATTATAAAGGGACACAAAACTACACCACTTGAAACATAAGGAACTGCCATACAAACCTTTGCGAGTGTACCTTCGACGCAATAGCCGGCAATAATACAACCCATTCTTGGCATCCGTACACCATTTCTCGAATAGCTCCCTGCTGAGACCATTTTGCAACATACCAGGACTAGCCAACACAACGCATGGTCCTGAATCCTCGAAATGTTCCATGCCCTGAATGACCCAATTTCCGTCGTGATGATTTGAAAGCACCTCGAGCGAAGCTCACCATAAGTTTTAAAGAAAAAAAAAATCAAGAAAAAGGTAACCTCATATGTCGACGTGTTTAACAAACAATAAGGATTGTCTGAACCGCTATTTTGCTTCTGGATGCGCTGATTCATCCCACTAACGAATGTCTGATACACAGCCATACACTTCTTGGCAAGCGATGATGCATCTGAAGAAATGCATCTCATCAAGGAGAATGGCATGGGAGGCAACATGGGAAGCATTAGATGTTAGCAGTAATGATACTTTTATGAATTCCTCCCGTTACGGGAATGTCGTACAATTCCGGGTGTGCGTCCCAATACTCATCCAATAATGAGCAGAAGTTCCTGAGCTCGGCCAAGAGCAAATGCAGGGATTAAGCAACGCCCTCCTCGCCCAACTATGTCATGTACCATCTGCGTGAAACGCTTCTCACGCTCACTCCGTTCTTCATGGATTTGTGTACCGTAAGTTGATTCCTGTTGAATTCCTTCTTTTATTTACTGATCCTGTTTGTCAATCCTGTCAAATTTATATCCCATGTAATCGTACCGAAATGAGAACATCAGGTGTAATTGTTGGCAATTCAGCTGCGCATAGATGCCGATCTTCCAGCCTCGAGAAATCACCCGTGTACAACGCTCGGACACCTGTAACAATAATCCTTTGGCTCTAGTGATTATAAAATTTCAAAAAAAAAACAGTTCCAGAAAAGAATTATTATCTACGAAGACCTTCTTTTACACTCGAGAGAGTGCCATTGAACCGCGTACTCAACTTCAACAACTGATTGTGAGCGCAGTTTCTGATGCAGACATACATGTGCTGCACGAGATGAGGTGAGCGGGATGAGACAACGTACCCGCTATTTCGATCATGAACATGCAGGCACCAAGCACATGACCAGCAACATATGGCCAAAATCGGATTCCATTAACCTCTTTTTGTTCGTGGAAATCGATAACCTGGATTCATAACTATTCAATATCACTGGATGGTACAACGGATGAAAACGAAATTTACACACAAAAGTGTACCTCAATTTTTTCCATGCTTCTTTCTAGGTCTTCATCAGTGTATAACATACTACGATCACTTCCACCGCCGTATTTGGCAACCTTGAAACATAGGGCATAGGATGAATTACTCCTGTGAAAAAGACAAAGCTATCATCAATTGTCAAAAAGTACGACACCTTGACATAATCCCCCAGTAGCATTCTGTATATTGCTTTTGTTGCATGAGTCATGAAACATTTTCCTTGGAATCCAGTTTTCTCCAGTAACCACGGAAGTGCACCGCAATGATCGAGATGAAAGTGGGTTATCTAAACATTTTCCAGGTTTTCACCAAGAAGGAGCCAAAACCTTGGTTAAATTACGCAGTACATTTGTGGGAAGGCTAAAACGTAACAATCGTATCTTACCATGACATTGGTCTACCAAGAAGAATTCATAGAATGTTGTACTGGAGTATTATCAGAGACTAGCTGGATGCTTCACAATTTTATAGCTAGAGATCAAAAAAATAGCAAACAAAGATCTCACCAGAAGAAGATCGATTTCTTCGATATCTATGAAATCAACAAAAGGGAGAGCATCTACTCCATGCATCCCAGGATGTACACCACAATCCAGCTGAAAATGTTTTCATTAGATGGAGCGAATCTCAAAAAAAAAATGGAAAAATATTAAAAAGAATTGCTAATTTATTGTTAAAGTTGGCACTGAAACTGATCTATGTAGCCTATTCCTCCTATTTCGGCCTAACTAAATCATCAATCGAGAAGGGACGACGATCTTTATCAATGATATGGATACACACACAGGGGAACGATCAGTGCCGGAAAAATGCACTTTCCCTTTTTAGCCATGGACTGGATAATTATGCTTTCCTGAACTCTTTCCAATTGGAGATTCAAAAGGAAAGAGTTCAGTAAAGAAACATCATAGAGGTCATTCACACTAACAGCATCAGAGAACTACAAACATGTTGAACTCTGAGCTCACCTAAATTACCTTCGTGCCGTTTATATTTTGAATATTGTTTTGCTTCTTTCCTTTATCCTCGTACGCAGTTCCTCATAGCTCCCACAATACAATAACTGAGAGCCTTGCCGACCCATAATCCGAGAAACAAAAATGCTCAAAGGCAGCAATCACGATGGTCGATGGGCGGCGCAGTTGACGTCGGTGGACTAGACCCCTCAGCACTGGTGGACATGCTTGAGCTCCCTCTCACGCCCTTCCACCAACGCTCAATGACATTAAAAGCGTCATCAAAACCGCGGACAGGTTTGATATTTGAAAATGCCATTTCTAGGTTTTCCATGCTCTTTGCTTCAAGAAAGTGAGTGTTTCCAGAGGCTACCACGACGTTACGAAGTAAGCAAACCAGCCCTTTTGGCGTTTCTGCTGGGGCCGTATGCTGAATGTTGGGGAGGGGATGGGGTCCCCGACGGTCGACGGACTACTTCAACTCGGTCCTTAAAACCGCCTCAATTTGATGCTTACCTCAGGAACTAAGCCTTAAAGAGAGGACGGGTCCGTCCGTCCTCTCTCCAAGGCTTAGTCCTGGGGTAAGCAAACCAGCCCTTTGGCGGAGCTGCTGGACCTAGCTGCACCACTTCGTCATCACTCTCCTACCGTACCGACCGAGTTCAAGTAGTCCGTCGACCTCGGGGACCCCATCCCCTCCCCAACATTCAGCATACGGCCCCAGCAGAAACGCCAAAAGGGCTGGTTTGCTTACCTCCACCGTTACGGCTCATAACAGTCGGCAAAATGCCGCCATTATGCTGCTATACGTCCTAAGTAGTGATCCATCACTTTCGATTCATGGTTCGACCACTGTGAGAACAGCGAACATGGCTTAGCTGTGCTTATTAAGGACACTTCGAAAATGTTTTA